CAATAACTAGTAGACATGAATTTCCAAAAGGCATTAGCATGAAGGTTAACGCAGGAGATTATCTGGGATTTTTTTTAACTCGGCTCATAGATACTATTCTGCGCGTAGATATGCGTTAGACTAGTTACTAATAGGATGCATAGTCATAAATACCTTCGTACGTTACCTGTCTGTGTCTTTCCTCGAAATACTTCCGTGGAAATTGTTCGCTAAGTTACCGAGACTTTTTTTAAAATTTTTAGCGCTGTACTAGACTGGCGTCGACATCTCATCCATTAATTTGTCTAACAGTAACCGTAAATTCTCTGCCGACAGTTTCTTTTCTAGCACTTCTCACTTGTGGAAATCCCTTCCGACGCGACATTTTCCCGCCAATTTTAAACAGCGTAAAATTATATGCAATGACAAACGTTATCTACTATCTTCCTGATAACAGTTTTCCCTTCCCGCTCATTTTCTGTTCCTAATTCTTCCGCATACCGTAACCCTTGTGTCTCAATGACTTTTCTGATTTTCATAGGGTGAAACTGAATAATATATATATATATATATATATATATATATATATATATATATATTGTCATCCACAGACAGACTGTTTCGCTGTATCACAGCCCTTCAGTGTGGCTAGACGTCCGATTGCTCTAGCTAGGATTGAAACCCAACTGAATTGGCGCCAGTCGGAGATTCTACCACGAAGCGCACGGCAAGGATGAAGGAGAATTTTAGCGTATCTATTTTTAGATAAACACACAGTGACCGACCAGACTCAATTCGCTATTACCGAAGAGTCATGCTATATTAGCCGTAATAGTCACTGCTTACAAACCCATCAAACCCACACTTCCTCCCCAGAGAGCTCCACTGAAATTAATATTCCAGGAGCCTATATATATATATATATATATATATATATATATATATATATATGTCTGTGTGTGTATGCGTGCGCGCGAGCTTTTGTTATGTATATGAAGTCGTTATTCTATGAGGATCGTTTTCATTAATACCTGATCATGTAAAATTAATTCCATACCAATTTCCAATGTCAAATATTTTATCTGAATGCTTAAAGATGCTCAAAAAGTTAATTAAACACTAAAATTCGTCTTTCATGTCTTTATCTAACAATGGAGAATTTCATTAATTCCAAGCTGCTATTGAGCCAGACAAAAATTATCTATCCTTGAATATTAAACATATATCCCACACTAAAAATAATGTTAAGTAAGGAAGTCATTTTCTTATCCTTTCCCGAGTGTAACATCAAGCAACTAGTTTCTGTAAAATATTATCGTGCAACTGTTGTAAATGCAAGGCTGAACAAATTAGCAGTTTTTTTTTTTTTTGCTTTTTGCTTTTTTTTGTAATCTGGGACAGAGGTAAGCTCATCCATGATCTCGCAGGTCATGAGGACATTATATCTGTATCTACCTACATCATCGTTATTGTTTAAGGTGGCAAAACATTAACCATGGCAGAAATTGAAATTACTATATATATATATATATATATATATATATATATATATATATATATATATATATATATATATATATATATGAAAATGCTACTTGAGAGAATGATCAGAGAAGATAACATCAATCTTCTTTGCTATTCAGTCCAACATTACATCTCAATCATTCCGGGGAGAATACATAGTAAAGATGAAGAATGTATTATGAAGAAGTGCCACCCGGGGTCACAGGATTTTGAAGTCAGGATTCTCGTTAGTGGGTTCTCTGTCACATGAAACTTGATATAGACACCGAGCCAATAGTGATGCATGCTATTAGTCTTTTCCGCCATCGTTTCATGCAAGGAAGAAATAAAATAAATAATATATTCAGCATAAGAACTGTAGGTATCAGAATATGATTTGTCTGCTTAACAGAAACAAGCGGTTTGCTGGGGACAGAATTTCCATCGGAAACGGCTGACTCGGCAAAATTTCAGGTCGTTTGAGTTCATTTTCCGCTTTATAAAATATTTAGCATTATTGCTAAAATATTGTTTTTCTTGTTTAAGATATGAAATTTCATGGGGTCAGATGTGGCACGATTTTAATGTGGGGCCTCCGAGCCCGAAAGCTCGTCCAAAAATTAGCTATTTCCTGAGAAGAGACACTGCCCTTTGACATAGCCTCGTCTGGGAATCCTCTCTGCCCGGAGACAGAGTGTTTGATCAGCAGAGCTGGAGACGAATCTCCAACTGATTCTCGAAGAAAGGATATCTAACAACCAGCCTACGTAGTCAGATCTGGCATAAGGCCGAGTTTAACGTGGGGTATCCGAGCCAAAAATTTCTCGTATAAAACGGTGTCGAACAGCTGTTTCCCGAGACGAGAGTCTGCCCTTCGACATAGCATCGTCTGGGGATCATCTCTGCTCAGAGGCAGAGAGTTTGACCAGCACAGCTGGAGACCAATCTCCAGCGCTGGCCTAATTCCCGAAGCAAGGATATTTACCAACCCAGCCCCTGTGTGGCAGAATGCCTTTTTTAATGCGAGGTCAAAACCGAGCCCTTAGGCTCAGCCAAAAATTCCCTGTAGACACTGTGTACACGGGGTCGGGTAGCTCTCTACCCGCCCCGAGACTCTGCCCTTCGGCATAGCGTCGTTTGGCTTCCTCTCTGTCCAAAGGCAGAAAGTTCGACCAGCACAGCTGGAGAAGAATCTCCAACTAACTGCCGAAGCAAGCTTCATGTACAGTCTGGGCTCACTATTTATATTTACTGATATAGTCAGTCCACAATAGGTAATAGGGGGTGTGGACATTGCATTACAACAAAATCCTTACTAATTAATATTTGGCGTGCAGCATTACTTCACAGAATAATGAACTTTAGAATTATTTTGAAAGACATACTAGTGTAATCCGAGGAAAGCCTGCAAACGACAGATTTTTGGCTGTAATTAGGAAATCTTCATTTATTAATGAAGTTCAGGTGGTGAGATTCCCTCAGTTGATATCTCTCTTTCCGTACAGAGCTAGGGTAATTCATTGGCGCCATAGCCGTCCACAAAATGAAAAATGTCGAGTAAGCTCGACTAATTTTGGTTTCTGGTCTCATGTTCGCTCGGGCAACCCACTTTAAACGCATCCTTGTGCCAATTTCCGGGCGATGAGATAAATACAGCAACGTCGGCAAAAAGGTGCAGAGAAAGGCCTTAAAATGTCTTTCCGTGCCTCTTATCTTTGCTATAACTACAGATCTTACAGTTAAATTCAAATTAACTGAAGTCATTGTAAAATAAAACATACATGGTTTGTATTGAATACTAGTCTCAGTTTTTACTCTTTGAGGGAAAATAATGGTTTGCTTGAATGGAAACCATCAACAGGTACTAATGATAGGAAACATTAGAATCCGCTTCAATTTTTCCTGCATGAAACAACACTTACCGAGAATGGCTTATTACAATTTCTCCTGGATGATATATTCTGTATATATTTTGCGAACGTCAGTGGCAAGAAAACGGTCCTTATTTCATTTGCTGTATTGATTTACATGGAAAATTATATATGCACATCTTCAGGTGTTGAGCTTAGACTGTCCGTTAGGTAATTTAAATTTTAAAAAAATATATCTTGTTATGGTAATGTTGGCGTAGATGTATATTATATTGGGATACTTTTAATTAAAAAAAATAAATATAAATTAAACTAGATTTGTATATATCTGTGTACAAAGTTAGATTTTTTTTCTATGAGAGCTATATTTTATATTATTTACATATATATTTATATTATATTTTATATTATTTTATTATTGAAGAGAGATTTCTTATCCCATTATATATATATATATATATATATATATATATATATATATATATATATATATATATATATATAATAAATAAATTCATTGATCGACGATGATGAGTCCCAAAATAGGACGAACTGGACGTCCAGTGCTGAGTCTATTTTTAGTTGAGATTTATACGACTCAATGAATTTATTCATTTATATGTTTATCAAATCCTCCTACTTATTATATGTATTTATTGTTGCTTGATCCGGCTTCTAATGCTCCAGTTGGCGCGGCTTGATGATAGTAGTCGTGGCTCCAGGAGTCACAGTCTTATGGTTATATATTGAACTCAGGAGTAGTTCTGCCACGGAATATGTGAGTGAGTGGCGCTATGTGGGTCTGATATGATTCTCTTCGGTGTCGAGGCCCGGTTGGTACAGTTGGTATGTTGTCTGCTTGACAACCCAGCTGTCAGGGTTTCGATATCTGGTGGTGGATGCGCACTGCTGATTCGTCCCAATTATAGGACGAAACGGCCGTCCAGTGCTTCCTCTATTTTTCAGTTGAGATTTATATCGGACTCAATGAATTTATTCATTTATATATATATATATATATATATATATATAAAAGGTCCTATGTATGACAATAAAAAATCGGGTTAGATGATGCTCGTCATCCTGGGAAGGCAATTCATCTAGGGGAAAGAAAATCCTTATTTCAAAACTCCGCGGTTTTGCGGCCATATCCAGTCACAGAAAAAGCTCGAGGGGTAAATCGCGAGGAAAATTTCGGGATCCCGAAGTGAGTTTGCCTTTGTATCCCAAATTATAGTGGTCCTGTCGTTCCTTTAGTATAACCGTTGACGTGGAGAGGGGACACGTGATACATACGCAACAGCCTGTCCACCATATGACATTGCCCAGGCTTGCATCCGATTACACTGCGCCAAAACACCCTGCACGACACCCGGAGAGGACACAATACGGAAAACGCCAGTTACAGGTTATAATCTACCCAATTGGCGTAGAACGCAGTGCCAGGGTTCTTTCTCGTCATTGGGAGAGATTTTCGGATTTCATTAGACATCTACTAGTTATCCCCCAGCCAGTAAGATTTTGTCCGCCTCGGTCTGCCTTATTCATTGGGTGAATGGCGATTAAGAAGCAGACTGCAACGTATCAGACAACAAGAAATTTTAAAAGAGACCAGCTCTAAATCTGGGCTGTTGGAACGCCTGGACTATGCTGACCGGCCCCTCTGAAGAACCGCAGAATATCAGCGACCCCAGGAAAACCGCCGTCATCAACGGCGAGCTCAAGAGGCTTCATGTTGATATCGCATCCCAACAGGAAACACGTCTGGCTAAGTATAGATCGTCTGGCTAATTATAGAGCGCAACGAACCACGCCAACACGGAGTGGACTTCGCAGTGAGGAACAGCCTGCTGAATACGATAGAACAAGGCAGCAACGTCTCCGATGAGACTCCTCCCTCTCCGACTCAACACCACCGAAGACCCGGTCACCATCGAGTGGACGAGTTTTATGACAAGCTGGCAGCCACCATCATCTGTATCCCCAGCAAGAATCAACTTGTTCTCCTGGGTGATTCAACGCCAGTGTGGGTGCTGATCATGACTCTTAGTCTTGGACAATTTGGCGTCGGCAAGATTTACGAAAACGGCCAGACAATTCTCGAGCTCTGCATTTATCACAACTTGCGCACAGCTAACTCCTTCTTCAGGACCAAGACCAAGCACAAGGTCTCCTGGACACCTCCACACTCAAAGCACTGGCACCAACTAGATCTCATTCTTGTCAGACGCGCCGCCATTAAAACCGTCCTTTATACACGTTCACACTGGTGTGCTGCAATATCAAACACCAGCCCAAGAGTTTCCACAGCGGTAAGAAGCAGGGGAATCCTCGCATTGATGTCAGTTTGCCAAGAGGTTTGAGAACGAGCGCGCAACCTCACAGACCCGAACACTGCAACGGAGAAGTGGGTGACCTTGCAGGACACCATTAACCGCACTAACATTGGCACATTTGAGAGAAAAACCTGAAACTGATATGATGACTCCTGTATTTGTGACCAAGTGCGCAGCTCTTGCAGAATGCAAGCGGTCACCCATCAATTGAGTTTTTTCTCCTTGTATTCAGATATGACGTTCAGCCATCTTGACACCGTTTTCGTAAGAATCACTGAAAAATCCGTTGAGTTATACAGTTATAAAGAGAACAGGTTAAATTCGTTTTATGTTAGCTCCACTCTCTTCCCAACTAAGCAATGGTGAGAGGACAAAGAACATTCAAAACTTTAGCAATTGTATTAACCTTCATACTCTGGCTTCCATTATCAAAGTTCAATAGAACGGTGAATAAGTTTTAAAAGGAGGGAACAGTCGAGTGGAAAACTGGAATAGATAGATAGAAATATTAGCAGTTTGTGACTGGTAGGTATACTTGCAAGGAGGATATTAATCCAGGGAGAACTCAAAGTAAATTATAGAGAATAATAATAATAATAATAATAATAATAATCAAGAAGAAAACCATAATGATTAATTTCGGTCATAATTTATTTAAAAGTTTAAAAAAGAAGGGAACAGTGGAGAGGAAAACTGGATCAGGAGGTCACAATAGGTAGAGGAATCATCATTTCAAATAAAGTGATCAATTAGAAAAGATCCAACTCAATCCATAAAACTATTTTCACATATGCAAAGAGTTTCAACTATGACAGTTCAAGGAGCAGTGACAAAAGATTGAAAATGAAATGGTACGTGAAAGTGTAACGCAACTTATTACTCCAGGACAGAAACTTAAAAGGTTAGAGAGGGCGAAGATCATCTTGAATAATTTGCCAAATTATCCTGATATATATATATATATATATATATATATATATATATATATATATATATATATACTTTATTTCAATTACTCAGGAACTTCCGATCCTTAGTTATAATTAATTAATGCTAAACATGCCATTTTGGTTTAGGATTAATGCAATTCCGATTCTTCTGTTAAGCTTGGAGATTAATTATACATTCTTATTTCTCAAAGTTGAGTCAAACAGAATTCTACTGAGATTTCCGGTATCTTTCATCATTTTTATGATACAACAATACAAATCTTAATCTAACATTTGGACAATTTTGCTGTTACCCGATTTGGACAATTTTGCTGTTTTACCCGGTATATATATTTAATATTCTAAGAGAAATAAAGGTCAATATATACAAAGGTTAACTGTTAACTTTGCAATCCCTCACCAGGACTTCCGACAATAATGAGTGCATTAATCACAGAAAATTTTATAACGCATATGTGCCAAGCTTCAAATTTAAATGCTACAACTGTTAATATAATGTTCATGAAAAGGCAAATGATCATGTTCCATTACTAACTTTCCGTATTTAAATTTAGAGGTATTAGTAACTTGTATTATTTAAAGTTTATTTAATAAGCAGCATATTTATTCTCGTCGAAAAGTCTGAATATTTTAGAAAACATATTAATTAAAAATGTGTATGCGAGGAGGATTCAAATTGCGTCACCCTATTTCAAGAGTATTGAATCTGCCAGATGGAAATAAATACAGTGTTTATAATAAATGTGCGCTAAATCTAATATAGGTATCCGCCAAAAATAACGTCTCATGTGATAAAAATATATTGGCTTAATAAATAAAAACACGAGTGTATATATATATATATATATATATATATATATATATATATATATATATATGGATAGATAGATAGATAAAAGTATTATCAGTTTGTGACTGGTAGGTATACTTCCAAAGAGGGAATTAATCCAGGGAGAACTCAAAGTTAACTATACACCATAATAATAATAATAATGATAAAAGTAATAATAATAATAATAATAATAATAATAATAATCAAGAAGAAAACCTCAATGATTCATTTCGGTCATAATTTATTTCGGGAATATCGATATATATATTCATCTCTCCACACCGACATCTTTTTAATAAAAGATGTTAAGATATTTATTAAATGATTTTGCTCTGAAATGATGTATGTATAGAGATATTCATGAGATAAATTATAACCAAAATGAATTTAATTTTTTCTTGATTATATTATATATATATATATATATATATATATATATATATATATATATATATATATACTGAACAGAAAAATAATGAAAAAATTAAAATATTCATACACACTGTGTTGTATATTAATATTCTTTCGTTTTTATTATTTCAGTTAGATTTCTCGACTAGTTTCGGCCAACATGGCCATCATCTAGAGAAAAAAATCTGGTTATTAGTAGCAGTGAACTAAAGTAATTAATGACATGATGGTGAAAATAAACTTTATCTGTAGCTTCATTTTTTTTTTTTTGTTTTTAACATGAATTTTGGTCAGACCTTGTGTTAGTCAAACAGTCTCTTTTAAGTTGTTATTTAAGATAAGAGCTAGATGGAATCATGCTGCTCTGAATTCCGTTGGTCATTTTGACAGTTTTAGTGGTTCCATGAAAGGGGATGTGTCCCTGTTAAGTATGTGTATTACCTCGTTATTAGAGAGTGAGTATAATGTGTGTATGTATGTTAGCATGGGTGTGTGTATAAGTATGAGACCTCAACACCTCCTCAACTATGGCTGTCTTGTGTGGGTGAGAAATTTGGGTGGATCCGTTTTTGTGGGGTTATATATTAATTCTATCTATGTTGTTAAATTTTCTGATTAAGCCCGTCTGGATGGAGCGTTTTTATCTTCATAGATTTCTAAAATCCACTCATCTTCATGGCCTTCTAAAATCTTTCTAATGTTATCTTCTCTGAACTTGTCTATTTTCTCAATTATTTTGAATTTGACATGGGTTTTAAAATCGTGTTTGTGTAGGCAGAAATGTTGTTCTACAGGTAATAATCTTTCATAGGGTGTCGACTTAATTCGATTGTGATAATTATTAATTCTGTAGTGAAAGGTCCATTCAGATTTTCCTACATATTGTTTCTGGCATAGTGTGCATTCTAGGAGGTAAATTATGTTATGACTTCTACAGTTAGAATCGTGGTGGATTTTGAAAGTAGATTTAGTGACTTGGATAGTGAATGAATTCGTGTGTCTAATGTGGTTACAGCATAAACTCCTTTTGGTGTTACATGTTTGGGAAACAATTTTTTAGGTCTGGTTTGAGATGTAGTATTTCCCAGGGATTTTTGATTATTTGGGATAGTGGAGGCAGAGTGGGGTTGAAAGTGGTTACTAGAGGGATCCGGCTGGATTTATTTTTAATCTTGTACCTTAGGATGTCTTCTCTAGATGAAGAAATTGCTTTTTTTACATATATATTTTGAAGTATATAAATTAAAATATATATATATATATATATATATATATGAATGAGAAGATGGGAAAGGTTTTCTTGTGACACGTTCCAGCCTTTATCGGATTAAATTTGACCGATGATGTCCTAAACATTTTTTCCACTTTGTCATTGATTTTCCTCCAATACTGTTCCATAATATATAAATATATATATCTTTATCTCATATATGTGTTTGTTAGTGTGTGTTTGGTTTGTCATTACGTTTTACCATGCTATCATAGCATAGCTTTCTGTTGCTTCATATAAAATTTTTCTTTCTGTTGTGCAAAGTTATTCAACATTACACATAAAAACAAACAATACCCGTTCTACTCCAAACGGAAAGCCGGCTTCCAGTCTACCATTACTATGCGTACGCACTGAAATGCATCGATGGTTTACCGCGATAGCCTTAAATATTTTTTGTCACTTTTTCATGGCCACGGAACCAAATCTCGCCTCATCGATCCAAAAGCTTACTTTATCAGAAAAATAAAATTTTCTATCGCTTCTCTCGTACAATGAATGTGTCATTCGTTCATAGCATTCCAGTACACTCAAAGAGAGAATACGGCTTTTCGATCCGGATATATACAGTTTCCTAATGGATAGACTGGTGAATCACAAATCTACTATTGAAAATAAATGGTTGAAAAATCAGATCAAATGTAAAACCTTCATAAATAAATGATAAATATAACTAAATAAACTAGTAAAATCTATAAAAAAATAAAACAAATCAAGTCTTTTGCTGTGATACAAAAAATTACAGTCATTTTTACTCGATTTTATAGAAAACTTAAAAGGTCTTTGGGAATTGTTCAGTATTTTCCTTCACCTGTCAAAGTTCTTACCTTAAAAAAATGTGTTAAGAAATATTTTAGAGCTAAGAAAATGTCTTCTGAAAGTCGCTCAGCATTTGTACATTATTTTTCTGGATACATAAATTGATTATTTTTTATTTCGTGTAGTACTCAGGTTGCTTGAATTTTTTCTAGTACTAACGTTGCTTAAGTGGCAGCTTAACTTTGGAACTGGATTCGGATAAATAGAAAAGAAATATTGTTACTTTTTCGTCCCTTTTTTGATTTTTGAATTGCTTAGGGCACACTGACATTATTCGTGGAGATGGTGAGTAATATTTATAAATGTTTTGCATTGCTTATAAAAGATTTGCTACCGAAAAATCCTACAGATTTTTTCGATAAGATACTCACTTACGATAAACATTTTTCAATTGCGTGTATCCCAATCGAATAATTTAACTTTTTTTACCAAAAGAAGCTTTCAATAGTTTAAAGCATGTCTACTATATGAAACATTCTATATTTGGTAGAAGTCAAAAGAATACATTATTTCAAATAATGATTTTGACAGACATTTATTTCGGATGCTTAAGTGAGGCATTGTCTTCTTTGTCTTTCTATGGAACAAATGTCCTTTGGCTGAGCAATCTCTTCAATAAATTATATTGCTTTATCGCAAAGGAATATAAAATATAATTAGATAAACATTTTACATGTATCGAACTTTTTTCCAAAATTTTCAGTAATTTCGGTGCATGCAAAAACAAATCATTGGTCGTGACGTT